AGTTATTCTATTGATACTTCTGCCTGGACTTGGTAATCCATGAACTTCTGCATAATTTTCTAGAAAATTCTTTACTATTTCTGCAACATCTTTGTCAATCACCATTTTAGTTTTCCATTGAGGCATCCTTTTAATATTACCATGAACTCTTGCTAGAAGACCATTTTTTATCAGATGACTACTAATATTTTCAAAGTAAGTTCTACCAATTCCTAACATATTAAAATAAGTTTCTTGACAAAGGGGTGTATTATGATCCCAATGGTAGAAAGTTTTTTTGTTAGACCTAGTTTTCTTTTTAAGGCGTCTGCTAGTGCTTATTGATCCACCATCCATTGCCTTAAGTTGAGCCATTAAAAATATGTCTTGTTCGGACTTGGAAAGTGCTTGAAAGGATTCTCTTAATTCTGCAAAATTTTCCTTGGGAATTCTTAAAGAGCAACCACAATCACAACCCTTTTTCAAAAAATCAATAGCTTTTTCATATTCATTAGAACCATTATACTTATTATTACTTTTCATATACACTTATCCCTATATATATAATTTTATAATTTCATGTTCACTTTGTAGGTTTTCATTTATTTTAAAATTGAAATCAGTCTTGTGGTGACAAGCAAAGCAGAAAGAATTAAATTTGAGTGGGTCTGCAAATAAATATCAGAAATATATATTCAATAATTGATATAAAAGAGAAAATAAAAATCCTCAATTGGTTCCATGAAAAATAATTACGTTAGATTTAAATTATTTATTATTACTAAAAATGGATAAGATAAACTATCTTGAGACCTGAGATTTATTGATCAACTAAAACAGATAAACAAATAAATAAAAGATAATTATTGTTATTTCTAAAAAAACAATTGAAGAAAATTGTTGATTATACTAAAACATTAAAACATATTTTTTTATTTTAGAATTAATGCACAATGTAGTCTTCTGAGATTTTTGCTGAATGTGATCTAATAAAATCTAATTGAAATGTGCTAAAAAAAAATAAACAAATGTTTGAATTTTTTTTTTTAATCAAAAAAGAAATTTTAATATATATAATAAATATGATAGATTTTGGACTGAGTTTGATGTATCAAAAAAAATAATTATTGTAAATAAAAAAAAGATTTAATAACATTAATTCAACTGAAATTAATGCCATTACAAAGGTGAAATAAAATAATAATTTTTTAAATATAATTAATCATACATCTTTAACAAAACAAACATGACTTAGCTATTTAATCATTTCCTTCATTTTCTTGTATGTAAATGCCTCCATCCATCAAATAATTCATGATGGTCATGATTATTATGCAATAAATTTGATATCATCATTGACATAACAAACAATTGCATCACCCAAGTAGTTATGATACCAAGACCATGCATGAATGAACTTTTAATAATGCATGTCTCTGGGGTTTACAAAATAAAATTATTTTTCCTGAATATCAAATATGGTTCCTTATGAATAATAAATCTGATGTTGATTGCAGGTGTCAGATTTAATTAAAACTTTCCTGTCACAAACAAGCAAGTGCTATGCAATCAAGCACAATTCAGCACCATGGATTTTATTCCACAAGTGAAAGTGACTTGAACAAGTTGGAAGGCTTTGGACAAAACTTTTCTTTATCTTCCCCTCAGACCAGGCTGGCTGTTACCGTATAGAGCATTGTTTGCTGATGAGAGTTGACATTGTGTGATGATTACTTTGTGTTATACCTCTCCAGTACAAAGTTGGTGTTAAGGCTGGCTTGAAAGTTCTGCAACTCAGAAGTTGCAACCTGGGTTGCTGTTTTGGTTTTTCCCTGAATTCAGAGTTTTGAGTCTTGAGTTGCTGTCTTGTTGGTGGCACACCATTTAAATAACAAGTTCAGTTGGTCAAACAAAAATTAAAGAAAAACAGAGTATTTATGAAAATGATTAATTTATACATAACATACCAAAACCCAAACCATTTTATGACTTTTTTCTTGTTGGCCATATTGCTGACAAAGATATATATAATCATGCAATAATTTTAATCTATAGGGCAGAAGACTGGTTGGGCAAAAACCCCTACCCAGCATAGTGGACATTCGTTTTATCACTTGTGACAAAATCGATCATTGATCTTTTTTATATTGTGAAACTTGCTATTTCAATTGAATTTAGAATATAAAAAGTCACGTGATTGCACACAAACCCCATTTTACAGTCTGGGATTATACCATAAATGGAAATTAATTCTAGAATAATTTACAGTCACACCTCGAAATTTAATTGACCTTTGACGATCTTTTCTACAAAAAAAATCACGACATTCTTGTAAGCCCAAAAAAGGTACACATCATATAGTAGTACCATATTTTTATAATATCAACAAGCTCGTCTAAATACACAGTTTAATAATCCACTTTAATCCACAAAGGTTTACATATTAGTTTTTTTTTTAATAAGAGACATGTTTTGGCTTGAATTTTCAGTTATTTATTATTTTTTTTTATTTTTTTCGCGTGTAACTATCAAATTCCTACGACTATGATGTCAAATACAATACAACTAGCCAAAACTTTACCATGTTTGTTTAAAGACATAGTTGATAAATATCCAAAGAGTCAATTACGACCATGTAAAACTGACTCACAAACATGGAAGCATGCATCAGCACCTGCTGCAGTTGAAAGAGTAAATAAATTAGCTAAGTATTTCCCTGAATTATCTTTATTAAATAATTGTTTAGAAAATTGTTCATTATGTATAAATCATTATAATCAAGTTGTTGCTACTGACAATTTTTATCAGAATCTTTTAAATTCAGATTTAAGTTCTGACATATGTTTAATTCAAAAAAACAAAAGGGTTCGACAAGATATACTGGAGACAGGCTCTATATAGTAATAGTAGTATTGTTAAAAAATAGGTGCTAATCAAAAGACAGTATACTGAAAGATAGTATAATTAATAACAGTTAACTTATGAACAAGCAACATATGGATCTTTGAGTAATATAATTAGAAATGTTGGTTTATTTTATTTTGCTCACTCATTCATCTATTAATTAACTAAAAGAAAATATGTAACTTCAAAAAAAATATAATGGGGAAGCATAACATAGTTAATTGTAGTAGATAATGAATTGTATATAACATCATATTAATATTGATTTTTTTCAAAAAAACAGATCTACCAATTAAACAATGGGATTGGATTATTGTTCAAAGCATTAATGGTGGTGGTAAT